ACCTTCAGCTCAGGGTGTGATCCTGGAGACCAGGGATCGAGTCCCAGAGGGGATACTTCTCCCTTTGCCTGTGTCTCTGCCCACCTCCCCCCCCCCCCCCGTGTCTCTCATAAATAAATAAATAAAATCTTTAAAAAATAAAATCTTTGTATAATAGGAAAATTAATTTTTGTTTTTTCCTAGTTTATCATTTTTCTTTTTACTTTGCTAATTTTTTTCCTATACAAAGATTTTTATTTTATGTGGTAAAATTGATCAGTTTTCTTCTTATTATGATGTTTACTACTTAACATTTTATTTATTTATTTATTTATTTATTTATTAAAGATTTTATTTATCTATTCATCAGAGAGAGAGAGGCAGAGGGAGAAGCAGGCTCCATGCAAGGAGCCAGACGCGGGACTCGATCCTGGGTTTCCAGGATCACGCCTGGGCCGAAGGCGGGGCTAAATTGCTGAGCCACCCGGGCTGCCCAACTTAACATTTTAAAAGATTCCTGTTGGCTGCTGTTGGAAAGAGAGGGGCAGGAGTGGGCCTAGGGGAGGCAAGGAGAGAAACAAGATGTTTGAAGGTGATGGTAATAATCTAGTGTTGGTAGCTGTGGAAGTGGTTCTGGTTATATCCTGAGCTATCTGTTGATGGATAGGATATTAGACATGAGAGAAAGAGAAGAGTGGAGATGACTCCCAAGTTTTTGCCTAACACGATTCAGTTACCATTAACTGAGAAGGAGAAGCCTGTGAAAGGGGCAGATTTGGAGGAAGATCAAGAGTTGGGTTATGGGGCAGCCTGAGTGGCTCAGCGGTTTAGCGCCACCTTCAGCCCAGGGCCTAATCCTGGGGACCTGGGATCGAGTCCCACGTTGGGCTCACTGCATAGAGCCTGCTTCTCCCTCTGCCTGTGCCTCTCTCTCTTTCATGAATAAATAAATAAATAAAAAAGAGTTGGGTTATGGACATGTAAACTTCGAGATACCTATTAGACCTCCAAGTGGAGGTATCAAATAGTTGAATATATGAGCCTGTAATTTCAGGGAGTGTTTAGGTCTATGAGTAATTATTTGGGAGCTATCAGCATGTAGAGGATATTTATTTAAGTTTTCTCTTTTTATTCATTTTTTATTGGTATATTTTCTATATTCTGAAATGTACAGATATTAAGTGTGCAGTTTGATGACTTATGACAAATATATACACCTGTGTAACTGCATCCCAATCCAGTATAGAGCATTTCTGTGTCCCAGAAAGTTCACTTGTCCCTCTTTCTAGTCAGGCTACTACCCAGAGACAGCTGTTGTTCTGATTTATATTACCACAACTTAGTTTCACCTCAAGTTGATAATATTTAAAGATTTTTTTTTAATCAATGAGTGATACAGAGAGGGAGGGAGGCAGAGACACAGGGAGAGGGAGAAGCAGGCTCCATGCAGGGAGCCTGACATGGGTCTTTTTTTTTTTCTTTAATAAATTTATTTTTTATTGGTGTTCAATTTACCAACAGCCAGTGCTCATCCCGACAAGTGCCCCCCTCAGTGCCCGTCACCCATGCCCCCCCACCCCCCGCCCTCCTCCCCTTCCACCACCCCTAGTTCGTTTCCCAGACTTAGGAGTCTTTATGTTCTGTCTCCCTTTCTGATATTTCCCACACATTTCTTCTCCCTTCCCTTATATTCCCTTTCACTATTGTTTATATTCCCCAAATGAGTGAGAACATACACTGTTTGTCCTTCTCCGATTGACTTACTTCACTCAGCATAATACCCTCTAGTTCCATCCACGTTTAAGCAAATGGTGGGTATTTGTCGTTTCTACTGACTTGGGTCTTGATCCCCGGTTTCCAGGATCAGGCCCTGGCCTGAAGGTGGTGCTAAACTGCTGAGCCACCGGGGCTGCCCTCAAGTTGATAATATTTAAAACAGAAGGCTGGATAATCACTAAGAGTGTGAATGTACATAGAGAAAAGAAAAGGCTCCAAAACTATGATTTGAGGAATGCCAAAGATTTGAGGGGAAAATGAGGAATTGGCAAGGAAACCAAGAGTATCCTGCAAGATAGCATGAGAACCAGATGGAATGGAGTCCTAGAAACCAATTGAAAAAGCGGTTTCAAAAAGAAGTGAGTGATGAACTGTTTCAAATGCTGTCACAAGGTCTTGAAAGATGAGGATTCAAAATTTACCCATAGATTTAGCAATAAGGGGATCATTGGTGACCTAAAAAACTGCTTTCGTGGAGTGATGGGGAAGGGCCTGATTGGAGTGTGTTCCAGGGAATGGGAGGAGAGAAACTGGACAGGAAGAATATAGTCATTTTGAGGAGGAGAAAGATGGCCTAGTAACTAGAAAGGGAGTAAAGGATCAAAGGAGGATTTATTGGATTTATTTTTATTTACTTGTTTGTTTTAAAAGATTTATTTATTTGGGAGAGAGAGAAAGAGAGTGCATGCATGTAAGCAGGGGGAGGGCCAGAGGCAGGGGGAGAGAAAATCCTTAAGCAGATTCCTTGCCTGCACAGCCCAACATTTGGCTTGATCCTGGGACCCTGAGATCATGACCTGAGCCAAAAACCAAGAGTCACACGTTCAATTGACTAAGCCACCCAGGTGCCCCTCCCCCCCCTTTTTTTACTGAGCAGTATTTCAGTATTTTTGTGTGCTTACGCAACTAATCCAGCTAGAGAGAAAGCTGAAAATGGGAGAGATTGCTTGAGTGTTGCCCTTGAGTCAGCAATAAGTCAGCCCTTGAGTGCACAAAGGAGGGGCTGGCCTGAGGTAGGGGCTTAGGCACAGTAATAGGCAAGACAAGTAGAGGTGTAGGTGAGAACATGCAGAAGTTCTCTTTTCGTTGTTTCTATTTCTCTGTGACCCAGGAGGGAGGGAGGGAGGGAGGAAAGAAGGAGGAGGAAGGGAAAACAAAGGAAGGAAGGAAGAAGGAAGGGTCAGAGGTTGAGGAAAGAGGTCTAAGTTTGAATTAGTGGAGAATGGAATTGCTAATATATCATCACTTCACTCCCAACCTTACTGATAATAGTTGTATAACTTTCATAAGTTACTTATGTTTCCTACACCTCAGTTTGTTCATCATGAGTAGTAACCCATCTCAAAACTTTGAGGACAAGATGAGAAAACACCTAGCATTGTTCCTGACCCATAGTTGATATATTTTTTTTAATTTTTATTTGTTTATGATAGTCACACACAGAGAGAGAGAGAGAGAGAGAGAGAGAGAGAGAGGCAGAGACACAGGCAGAGCGAGAAGCAGGCTCCATGCACCGGGAGCCCGACGTGGGATTCGATCCCGGGTCTCCAGGATCGCGCCCTGGGCCAAAGGCAGGCGCCAAACCGCTGCGCTCCCCAGGGATCCCACCATAGTTGATATTTAATAAGGGGTTATTGTTTTCCAAAGTGTATCAGTGGAACTGTTAATAGATAACATGTGGAATAATACTTGTAATATTTAAAATGCCATGTAATCTAAAACTTTTTCAAATGTGCGCTTACCATTGTCGAACTTACATATATTCAGATTTTGGAATTGGATAGTCAGGTGGCACATTTAAAAAAAAATTAGATTCTTTTCTCCTGGTTTGCCACTTAAACTTATAGGACTCAGTTGATAAATTTGTCCTACTAGTTTGTTGAAAAGATGGTTTTAGTTACATTTTTAAAAGTTCTAAGTCACTCTTTCAGAGTTCTGTTTGATTTCTCAAAGTTCAGTTTGGCTATGCTCAAGAATGGAATGGGTTTGAACCTATTCATTGTAGATTTTAAGATTTAAGATTGATTTTAAAATTTAAGTATGGAGGGATCCCTGGGTGGCGCAGCGGTTTGGCGCCTGCCTTTGGCCCAGGGCGCGATCCTGGAGACCCGGGATTGAATCCCACATCGGGCTCCCGGTGCATGGAGCCTGCTTCTCCCTCTGCCTGTGTCTCTGCCTCTCTCTCTTTCTCTCTCTGTGACTATCATAAATAAATTTAAAAAAATTAAAAAAAAATAAAATTTAAGTATGGAAACTTTCTAATATTTACAAAAATGAAAAGTGTAATAAGTCTCCATGTACTTACCTAGCTACTACCTTAAGTGATACTCAGATTAGTATGGACACTTAAATGATCTTTGAGAAGATATGGAACTAACTTGTCTTGATTCACTAATGAGTAAGAGGTAAAGATTCTGATTTAATAATAATTTAATTTTAATTCCTTCAATCATTATTTTATTCATTGATTTATGCAACAATTTATTGAGGGTCAACTTTGTTCATTAGTGCCTAATGGCTAAGAGCCTTGCCTGATTGCAAATCTTGGCTCCGCTATTTACTAGCTGTGTTGCCTAAGGCTAATAAAAGTATTCTAAGTTTCAGTTTCCACACTGTCAAAATTAAGATAATGCTAGTATCTGCCTCATAAGGTTGTTATGAGGAGTAATTGAGATACATTGGCTTGGCTTGCTCAGTAAATGTTAGCTGCTGTTATATTCTTTCTCCTTTTCCTCCTCCTCCTCATCTTTGTTTTCCAGATTTTGTGCTAGGTGTATTAGGGAGTATGAGAGAATTAAGATACAGACCTTCACTTTGAAGAACTAGTATTCCAAAATCCCACAGTATTAGAGCTAGGAGAGATTTTCAAGATTATCTAGTTCAGCAAGCCCAGAGAGCTTTAGTGAAGTGTCCACTATCAACATTTCTTAGTGCCAAAGCCAGGCCAAAACTCAGGTCACTTAGCTTTGAATGTTCTTGTTAAAGAATGGCTGCTCTGTTGGTTTTACTCTGCCCCACTCCTTAAGCCCTATTCCTCCTAAATTGACAATCCTTACCTATTTGAGGGCTTTGCCTTTTCAGTGTGCAAACAACGAAGTATATATGAAGCTTTTTGCACATATCAGAGCAAATATGAACACTGGATACTTTCCTTAAGATTCCAAGGAAGACATGCTAGGGAAGGTAGATAGGCTGTCTCTCTGTGTAATCACAAGGACATTTTTTATCTTCCTCTTATATCACAGCCCAGGAGTTAAAGTCACTGTTTGAAAAAAAGTCCCTCAAAGAGAAACCGCCAAGTTCTGGAAAGCAGTCAATATTATCTGTACGACTGGAGCAGTGCCCTCTGCAGCTGAATAACCCCTTTAATGAGTATTCCAAGTTTGATGGCAAGGTAAGTAAAAATAAAATTTTGTCTTTTTAAATAAAACCTCAGTTGAGTGGAATTGTTTTGTTGTATTAGTATTATTAGATTCAGGGTTTCAAAAATGACTCTAAGTAATCATAGAATGTCATTCGCATTTTCTATGACCAAGGATATGAAAAGGTCTGAATTTGGGCTTAATATCGTTTCCACAGTGGTATGTTCAGGGATTAAGACAAAAATAGCCTTGAGATATTTGGATGTGTTTTTTTTTTTTTTTTTTCCTGTTTCATCTTCCAAGTATACTTGAGGTTTTGGGTTAGTTGGGTTGTAATTAATCAAGGCCTGATTGTGTTGGGAACGCTTTGGAAGTGATTCTGGGAGGCAATTTGCATTGTTTTGGTCTGATTCTTTATTATAACTGTAGAAATTGTTGAGGTTAAAGCTTTACTTTAGAGTTCTCGACTGTTGTTTCTATGTTAGTATTTCATTGTAGGGACTCTTGTTTGACACTCATTATGCAAGATGACTTTATTTTTTTCTGTCTAAGAATTTGCAGTTTTAAAATTCAAACATGTCTATTTGCCTTTTAGGAAAATGGCCGCTGTCTTAGGCGGAGCCTAGTTCCACTTGCAGCACCCTCTCTCCTCACATTCCCTGCCATCGAAGCTGAGCTGAGCTGCTTTCAGGAGACAGTAGCAGTTGATTTTTATATTTATTGCCATGATATTGCTGTCCGGTAGTGGCCTGGGGATGCCGAGTGATAGCTTGTTGCCTAGAGAGGTTGTGTACAATTTGTCTTACTTTAACACCACTGCAATTAATAAACACAGCTCTTTGCTTATGTTTGCATTTTTTCATATTCAACTTCTGGTTATGTGCTGGTTCTGTCAGTAGTCACCTTTGAGCAAGGAGATGTTTTTTCTTCGAAACACTTTTACCTCATAAGGTTCAGCATGTTTCATAGGTTTAAGTAAGCATGTATGGCCATGGGCAAGTGAGGTTATTGATGTTGGTGAGAAAGGAGAGCCAAGAACTAGAAACAAAATGTATAAGTTACATAAGATACTAATATGCTCAGGAGTTGCTTTCAAAAAAATCTGAAAGTGCTCTTAGTAAATGAGAGATTGTATTGATGTAAAGCTTCTCTTTAACCTGCTCCTGCCGCAACTCCGCAACTCCCGCAACTCCCAACTCCCGTTTCTTCTTGTGGAATGTAGCAAAGAGAAGAAAAGGTCCCCCTAGGGGACAGGAATGTCAGTCTCTGGAAAATAGAGAGTTGGACTGTAGGTTTTTTTTTTTTTTTAAGATTTTATTTATTTATTCATAGACACAGAGAGAGAGAGGCAGAGACACAGGCAGAGGGAGAAGCAGGCTCCATGCAGGGAGCCCGATGTGGGACTCGATCCCAGGTCTCCAGGATCACACCCCAGGCTGCGGGCGGCGCCAAACCGCTCCGCCACCAGGGCTGCCCCCCCCCTTTTTTTTTAATACTACAGTTGATTCATTTAGATACGTGAAAGCTATTGGTATTAGGTTACATGGCTGGAATTTACTTGCTTCTGTTGCCTGATACCATCTCATTGTTTGAGGACATAATTGCTGGAATAATTACTATGTAAATTTACTTTGATGCCAACAAAATAGCACAGATCTTTTAAAATGTTATGTCTTAGAATTCTTATTATACCATTAGATTTCATTTTATATAAATTACTTAGCTTTGGATTTGACAGAAAGTTGTCAAGTATCCTTGGTATATATCTAACTTTGGAGTGCCAAGGAGAAATAAAAAAAATGATATGAAGAAGCCATTTCCTCAGTCACAAAGGAATTACTTTTGCTAGATATGTTTACACTTAAGGCTCTCAATGCTTTTGTCATATCAAATCTGTTTGTAATCAGTAAAGGATATGCACATGGAGCAGTCACCATTACACTTTGATTAAGAAAGATTTATATATTGATAAGTCTATCTGGTAATGGTGGTGCTATTTTATTATTATCTTCCATATTACAAATGCTAAAATACAATTAAACCCTTGTTCTCATCTATTATTTAATATTGATGCATTTGGCAGATATGTAATGAAAGTGGCTAATATTTGAAGGATATTGTACTGTACATATTAAATTAGTCTTTATCTTTGTGAAATGCATCAATATGATATTCAATGACATCTCAATGATTAATAGAGAATTATACTTGAGTCAAGCCTTTTTGTAACCTAGAAATTAAAATGACTATTCAAATAACACCTCAAAATGATCAAATTAGCATTTTGTGATTGCATAATAATGGGATTGTAGTAGTTATAACAGCACCATGGCTGCCTCTAGAGTTAAGATCATGTCAACCCCTTGATAATAAAGCCTTTTCTGTGAGAGTCGACTTTAATAATTTCCAGATTGATTCTTCCCATAAATCATTTGAGTTCAGCACTAAATTTTTGTTACTGTTGTAACTTAAAATTATTTTATTTTTATTCAGCTCATATTTAAGAAGTGAAATGAGTGTCCTGTTTTAATGATTCACCATCTTGTCATTGAACCCCATGCTTTTTACCTCAAATCTAAGAGTTGTTTTTTTAATTTTTTAAAGATTTTCTAAAAATTTATTTATTAATAGAGACACACACACACACAGAGGCAGAGACACAGGCAGAGGGAGAAGCAGGCTCCATGTAGGGAGCCCGACGTGGGACTCCATCCAGAATCTCCAGGATCACGCCCTAGGCTGCAGGCGGCGCTAAACCGCTGCGCCACTGGGGCTGCCTTTTTTTTTTTTTTTTAGGAGTTTTTTATGTATTTTGATAGTCCCCCTTTTTTTTCCCTGCAAAGGTTTGTTAAAGCCACTAAGATATGTACAGTTTTTTCCTCGTACAGTTATTCACAGTGCTTTTCTTGGGAATAACGCTTGCCTTATTTACATAATTAACTGAGTTGCCTAGGTCTCTTGGGCAAATGGTACATAATTGGGGAGAGAAGGGGACAGAGAAGAGTTTGGGGTCTAATTAAATATGCTAAAAAACTACTTAATTATGTATTTCCTCAAGAGACTAACTGCTGTGAAATCCTCCTTAAGATTAAACTAGCATTAGGTTTGAAAAAAGAATTTTGTTTTTGGTATGGCTTTATAATTACATTGTAGGTAAGCCAGCATATCTAATGTCTTTAATGGTTTGTGTAGACTGGATTGTTGTTGGTTTTAGTGAATCTAAGGGTAAGCATCTCTTAGCTATTGTGCTAAATGAAAGTGAATACTTCTGAATAATTTTTAGTTCCTATAGCAGGTTAATAATTTCATTTTTAAAAATTGTGACTGATGAATAATTTTTTGGAGGCTTACAGTTGAGAGGGAAAGCCTGTGTTTAGGCATATGCTTTATTGTAATTTTAATAGTTTTTTGGATTGGTTTGTTACTATGTTTATATTATTTTTTTGGTAAATTGAGGAGGCTATCTTGACCTGTTTTAGATTTGTTGATTATTAGTAACTCTGTTTGCTAATCATTTGAAAAAAATCCAAAATAGAATGCACATGGTTTTAGGGAATGCTTGGTCGTACAGGGCAAAACCAGCTCAGCCGTCTGCCTGCATTTTTTTAGCTTGTTGAAAATAGGACCTCAAATAGACTAACTAACACAAAATCTTTGTTCTAGAGATTGAAAAAATCAGAAAATTTCTTGTGACAGTCCTGACTTCACTGTATGGGGATATGTTGGGTGTGATGAGTTGCTTTGAGGTGATGAAGGAGTGAGCTCTACTGACAAATGAACACTCAACACTGATTTAAGTATCCCTGAATGTGTGGATTTCTGCCCTTTCTACCTGTCTCAGATAAGGTCATGTTTTTCCAAGTATCTATCCCTTTCCATTCCATGGCTTATCACTTACATAAGAAACTTTTGCTAGTATGTCACCACTATTCTGGTTAAACTGAGTTTACAAATATTATCATTGTTAGTAGACCAATATAATTTTATTTTATTTTTTACTTATTTATTTACTAAAAGATTTTATTTATTTACTTGAGAGAGAGAGCAGGGAGCCTGATGGGGGGATCAGTCCCAGGATCCCAGGATTATGACCTGAGCTGAAGACAGACACTTAACCAACTAAGCTACCCAGGCACCCCTTATTTTATTTCTTTAAGTAGGCTCCACACCCAACTTGGAACACAAAGCAGGGCTTGAACTCACAGCCCTGAGATCAAGATGTGAGCTGAGATCCAGAGTCTGCTGCTTGACCAACTGAGCCAACCAGGCACCCCCATTACAATTTTATTATTTTATTTATTATTTTATTTATTTTATTTTATTTATTTTATTTTATTTTATTTTATTTTATTATTTTATTTTAAGATTTTATTTGAGAGAGAAAGAGAGTGCATACAAGCAGGGGGAGCAGCAGGGAGAGCAAGGAACAGACTCCCTGCAGAGCAGGGATGCCCCCCCCCCAACTCAGGGCTCCATTTCAGGACCCTGAAATCATGACTGAAATGGAAGGCAGCCACTTAACCAACTGAGCCACCCAGCCCCCCCCCCCCCCCACCCAATTAGAATCTTAAATACCATTTCCTGTTAATATAGTTACTAACAAAGAAATGACATTATCAGTTGTGATGTCTTGGTCAGGTTTTCCATCTCTCCAAACCTCAGTTTCTTTACCTGTAAAAGAAATGGGTGATCCTTCCTCACAAGGCTGATGATACCATCAAATAGGATAATACTAGGATAGAGCACCTAACACAATGAGGAGCAGTGTAATTTACTTTGTGACCTATTTTGTAGTAAGACTTGAGTTGGAATCCTGACTCCACCACTTAACACTGTGACCTCAGGATAATTACTTAATCTCATGAAGCTCCAGTCCTCATATGTGGGTTGAGATGATGATAATATAGCTTTCTTGTGAGGATTAATTGAGGTAAGGTCTGTTTACCAAGACATGTAGCACATAATAGGAAGCACTCAACAAATATCTTACTTCTGCCCCTCTTTCTTTGTAAACGATGAGGGCCAGTGATGC